AAATAGAGATAAAGGAGTGACATGGAGGTAATTGTGAATATTTATTAAGGATAATTTGGGTTTTTGCCCCAAAATGAATATAAAATTCATTTTTAATTATATATTAAAGATAAGGGGGAGAGATTTTTCTTATAGAAATCTCACGAACTCTCTCTTTCTCTCCATCTTCAGCTACTATCAAGCCTACACAGCACGGTAATGATTTTTATTTTTGAAGCAATATACTTGATTTTTGGGATTTAGTTATTAGATAGAGAATTATCCTTGAGGTCGTGGGATCGAGTCTCATGGAGGGCATTTCATAATTTGGAGGTCTCCCACGGAAGCTTCTCTCAACCTAGTGTTGGGGGCAACCTACTATCTTACCTCCCCCTTACCCCCATTACATATGGGAACAAGGGACAACCATTTTGTTTTATAGAGAATTAATCTACATGAAATTCTCTATCATTGGTACCAATATTTCATGGTGAAGCTGATTATGTGATGAGATTTTATGATTTAGAGTTATGAAGAGTTAAGTGATTTTAAGGAATTGGTTGTAAGAATTGATGAAGAACCTAAGGATACAAATTAAGGAAAACAGTTTAGATTTTGAATCTGGCAGTGAGTTTGAAAATTCACCAGAAATTATATAAAAATTATTTGAAGGTGATTTTTACATACTTGTGTTTGTATATCAATCTAGTTTTGTTTAAAACAAATGGGGATCGATTTCAAGGTGTATAAAAAAGATATGATTTTTTAACCGAGGAAAGGTCAGAAAAACGGGCAGCAGATTCTGCACAAAACAGATTTTGTTAGTTAACTTTGAAAATTCACCATAAATTTTATAGAATTAATTAGAAGGAGTTCTTTATATGGATATATTCTTATTCGAGTCTAGTTTTCAACAGAAGAAACGGAATTAAATTCCAATGTGTATATCAATACAGAATACTGATTCTTTAAAGGTAGTGCAAGTTGTCTGAATATGGAAATTTTAGAATTTAAGTTGAAATAGATTAGAAGGTGAAGAGTAATGTTTAAATGTTGAGTATATTTTTTGATGCTTGGAATTGAAGTTAAATGGCAAGAGACCATTTTGAATAAATTGGAAATGTTGAGAAGAATTCTAAAAGAATTCATTTTAATGGTTAGATGGTGGAATTCGAAAGGTTCCAAAACTTTGGGGACTTGTTTACAAGTTCTTAAATACTTGTTTACAATTTCTTAAATGAAGAAGTATTATTTGGATATTTTATTAAAGTGCTGGAATTTTAGTAATTAATGTATAATTATCATAATGGCTAAGGACCATTATGAATTAAAGGAAAAGTTGAGTTGAATTCTATAAAGAATTTAAAATATGTGGTTTGATTTTATAATTGGTAAAATTGAAGATCATGTTGGGAATAATTATTTGTGGAATTGATTAAGTGTTTCAAGAAGTTTGAAGTTATAATGGAGTTATGAGTTAGGTTGATATCGATTTTATTTTATAGATTTTCAAATGTTAAAATGAGCTTATGTTAGAACGATACTAATATGTAGTTTAAACATTTTGTGTTATAATTTGGTATTGTCAGGTTACAATAAAACTAGCAATCCGAACGATCTGAAAGGAAAGGACAAAGATTGTGACTAGTATTATCGTATACAAGTTCTGTAGTGAGACAAAGGTGAGTGCAATTTATTTATTTAATTATTTTGATTGAGGATGACTTGCGATAAGTCAACCTCACATTATTTATTTCAAAGATATGAATTATGTTTTAACTATGAAATTATATATGTAAAATTTTTAATAAGTTTTATGAATGATTTTGGGTATGAACTGCTCATATCATGTTTTACGAATGTGAATTAAATATATTTCTGACTCTGATATGATTTTTATCAAATGATTATGAATTGAATTGAAAACTCACTGTATGTTATATGGAGAGTCAATGGTACAATTGGCATGTCATGAGGTGGAGTGATTATTTGTTCTAATTCTGATATATTGTGGTGTACCGGAGTGTACACTAGTATATATATTCTGATTTGAATGCACTTTGTGTGCATATTGTTATTTCCAATACAATAGCACTATGAATAGAAATCGTTAGTCAGTTTGATGTGACATCTATGACTCGTCTTCATAAATATTTATAGACTATGGGTGTTACAGTTTAATGCACGAACAGGAAAAATAAGGGGAGGAAAAGGGATATGGTTTTAAACTTTATCTAATTTTGGGTAAATTACACCATAAGTCCTCAAACTCTTGAGAACTTAGAAAATGCATAAAAACTTTAAAAGACTTACAATTTAGTCCCAAATTTGAGATGTGACAAACTGCATAAAGAATTAGATAACAATTGTTGAAATAGGGATAATCCGAACCCTAAAGAAATCAAAATATAATTAGGCTCCCTTTTTTTTGGTGAAATAAAGTTATAGACTAAATCTTAAACCTCTACTGCCATAATTAGGCTCCTTTTAATACAAACATTATTAGTCTTAACTGTAATAAGAAAATATAATTTTATCTCATCTGTTAACATGAACTTTTAGAATTCACTCCTAATCTATGGATTTTGAAAAAGAGGAAAATTAACGAATAAAAATATCATTTTATCGTAATATTTAAATTATATTTTAATCAGTTATTAAGTGATCTGATATATTTTTTTGGTTATAAATAATCCTACATATTTGTCCATAAAATTATGGAGTTGGTAAATAAGATAGAAATTATAGAAAAGCTAAGAATGATGAGGAGCTTGACCAAATGTGGAAATGAATGGAGACATAGAGACGCCGTAGCGTTTTACAATGGGTCCTAAGTGTTTGTTAAATTGTCTAACTGAAACAAGACAGCCATAAATTTCATATATGGACAAAGGGAAAAGAGCTGCTATTTGCAAATTAATAGACCCACCGTTTTGTATTTGATTTCTTTAACAAGCACATGACTTTGATTGGTCCCATGTGGGTTGGTTTCTGTACAATTTTTGTCCTACTATTCATACTTTCTGTAATCAATTTAAGCAAGGAAAGTTTGATAGAAAAAAGCCAGAAGCTTTCCCTTTGTTGCTTATGAACATCAGAACATAGCCCAGTAAACTCAAATTATGATGGTGTACATGTATTAACAATATAAGATTTTTATATAGATAAACATTAATAAATTTTCAGGTAAATACAATCAATAAAATAAATAACTAATAGAGCTATGAATTTCATGGTAGACATGCGTCAACTCTAAATAAAATATACATTCGTCACTGCGTACAAACGTAACTGTTTAAATTCAAAATCTTTTAGAAAAATAATATTCATTTATATCAACAAGGTCGTTTGATAAATTTTACGCCTTAAAAATATCAAAATTATAATATTAATAAAAATATATTAATTATTAAACTATTGTTTAAACATGTCACATCATTTACATATTAAATTAACGATAATAAGATTATAAATTAGTTAAATTATAGTATATGTCACTTAATTATTAGTAAATGATTTATGAATAAGTTATAATATACAATTATTAAATTTTAAAAGATTAAACGTATAACAAACATTAAAATTTTTATTTATAATTGAGTGACTTGATTGTACAATTGAAAATTTTAGTAACTTGATTGTTATAATTTAAGAACAGGGTAATCTGATTATAACTAAAAGGCATGATGTCAAAATTACCCAAACGTTTATCATAATGGTTATTTTATCATTTATTCTATTTTGTGGAGTATTTTTGCCCCTAACATTTCATTTTAAAGTAAAAAAATTATAACATTTGATAAAATAATCACTTTATCTCTTAATTTTTTTATATGGAGTATTTTATCCCTCAACGTTTCATTTAAAGTTTAAAAAACTCTTAATTTTGGCGCGTTAATGTGCGTTATCTAATAGTTTTAATTTATAGGGAGTTTTTTGTCCCAAAGTGAAATAATTTAGGCCAAAATACTAAAAAAAAGAACATGAGTCAAAATAATTATTTTAAAAAACATTGAAGGTTATTTTTGGTATTATGCCTAACTAAAAGATTAAAAACCAATGGTCTATCGATGTGTAAGAATCAATTACTTGAGTGATTTATTTATAATGTTTTTAAAATTTAGTAATCAATTATAATCTTATTAATAACTAAATGCCATGTGCTGCGATTTTTCCATACATTATTCATAAATTTCTGGCCCCAAACATAATTAATTTCTCATTTACCCCGTCTGGTCTAGGAAAATTTTCCCGTGACAAAAACTCTCAAAATAGGAAGAAAGAAGCTCAAGCTTTCCTTTCATTTGCTTATTTAGATCCATTTTTCTCTCTTCCCATTTTTACTTGCACTTGGCTCTCTCTAGAATTTTCAGAGTTCCAATCCCTTCCTTTTTTATTTTTTCTATTTTTTTACGGAAAATGATCATGCTTTTTCTTGAAGGTACTTGGGAAAAAAGTGGAGAATTTTAACTCTCTTTTCCTTTTTGGTTTTATGAGTCTCTTAGGTAGTTAGTCATTGTGGGTTTTGAATGATTTTATTGGATTAGGAAAGTAGAAGAAAATCAGAGTGTACAAATAGCTGTCATTTTTAAATGTTGGTGTTGAATTTGCATTATTTTGTTCATTTTTGGAAGCTTGTTTTTGGTAGTGGATTTTCCTTTTTAAAAGGTTGTTTTCATTTGTTCATTTCGCTTAAATATTGCTGAAGAAATGTGATTTGATTAGATCGTATAATTTGCATTGAATATTGGATTTTAGGAAAGTTGTCACCTTTGTTTGATTATAATCAACTGATTGAATGCTGGTGAGGAAATGTGGATTTTTGGTTAAGATGGATGGATGAAATATTGATATTTTATATTATAATCGGGTTTTTTAAGCTTTTTGGATATGATGGGATTGAATGAAGTTATGAGGATGATAATATTGCAAAAGTAGAGTTTTCTTGAAGGGAATAAGGGTAGTTGGTGACTGTAAGAAGAACTGAAGAAGGTTTTATTAAGTGGTGGATCTGGTGTATTATGATGGGTTGCATTTGTTGCAAGTCATCTGCTATTGAAGATAGCAAGGAAAGTCCTAGGCAGAGGCTTTCGAGTAAAGCCTCATTAGATGTTAGGGTACCGAAGGCAACTTCTTCGTGGAGCGAGGAATCACATAGAACAAAGGATCCATATGATCACAATGAAGGGAGGACCACGGTCATTGATAAACAAGTGAATGGTTTGGTTCGAACCCATGGTGAGAATTTGGAGAAGAAAAGGGAGAGGATGGAGCATGTTGTTAGTCACCACCCTGGGAGGGGTAGTGTTCCAAAAGCTATAGAAGGAGAGCAAGTGGCGGCTGGGTGGCCTGCTTGGTTAGCTGTAGTTGCAGCGGAAGCGATCAGGGGATGGCTACCACGTCGTGCAGACTCATTCGAAAAGCTAGATAAAGTAAGTATAAATCATGCTCTTACTTAAATGTCGTTCTTTGGTACATTGTTGCTTGTATGTGCTTGATCCCCATGTTACAAATATCATTGATGATTTCTTTATTTGACTTATTAGTTGACTTTTAAGGTACATGTTAGTCTCCTCATTAGCTGTCGAGATTTGACTTTGTGCTATTATATTCTGAATACTAGTTGTCAATATAAACACTGAAACAAGCAGACCTTGTGCTAAATCAAACTCAATAAAATTACACATTACCAATTTGCAATTAGAAACAATAATTCTCTCTAAATCTTATGATAATATACGCTTATCCAATTTTAAGGCATCTTAAGTTCTTAACATTTTTGTCGTTCTTCACTCATGAAATTGTCACCTTTTAACGGACATCTAGATGTCTGTAATTGGAACAATGAAGCTTGAGAAGATAATTTTGGGAATTCAATTTGTTTTTTTAAGTATTGCTTCAGGAATTCAGTATGATTCCTCTTAACCTAACTCTATGAACTAAATTGACTGTTTTGTTGGCTAGTCATCACATCTTTACATGAACTTGTATTTTCTATGCAGATTGGTCAGGGAACTTATAGTAACGTTTATAGGGCTCGTGATTTAGATCAGAAAAAAGTTGTTGCTCTGAAGAAAGTTATATTTGATAACCTTGAGCCAGAGAGTGTTCGATTTATGGCAAGGGAAATTCACATTCTACGTAGACTCGATCATCCGAATGTTATAAAGCTGGAAGGGCTTGTTACCTCGAGGATGTCTTGCAGCCTGTACCTTGTTTTTGAGTACATGGAACATGATTTGGCTGGTCTTGCTTCACATCCTGATCTTAAGTTTTCAGAATCACAGGTACTTCTGATTGTTTTGCTTTTTCTTCTTTTTAACTGCAACTTGATATCTTTGAAAAAGTTTTTACTTGCTAGTAAGTACAAGTAGTAACTAACTAACTACGGTCCAAAATAAGTTTCCATAAGAAGTCCTTTAAACCTGTGGATTAGATGATTCTTTTTTATTTTAAGTTACAGTTTTAATGAGTAGAGTTATCCTGCAATATATATATATTTTTATTTGCATTGAAGAGCTATTCTGATAGTTTATTGAATTATTGAGCAGGTTAAGTGTTATATGCAGCAACTTTTCTGTGGTCTTGATCATTGTCACAGCCGTGGTGTCCTACATCGTGACATAAAGGGTTCCAACCTTCTAATTGACAACAATGGCATCTTGAAGATTGCAGACTTTGGTCTAGCTAGTTTTTATGATCCCCATCAAAATCAGCCCTTAACAAGCCGTGTCGTAACACTTTGGTATAGAGCACCAGAGCTTTTACTTGGAGCCACCTACTATAGTACCGCTGTGGATTTATGGAGTACCGGTTGCATACTTGCTGAGTTATATGCTGGCAAGCCTATTATGCCTGGAAGAACTGAGGTGCGCTTTTATCATTTAAATGAAATGCTTCTGACTAACCATCAAGAGTTTTAAGCAGAAACGTTAGTTTAAAGTGAGAAACAATGTGTGGTATGTGGTTGTTAGAGCTTCAAACTGTAGGTTAGCCCGTACTTTTCATTTAAGTGTATGTATGTTGTTATCATCTCAGTTGTCAAATAAGAATTCATTTTTATGTACTTGGGATTGCTTTTATGTTGTCTCGAAGTATGTTTTGTTTGATGCAATCTGACATGGTTCCATCAAACTGTCTAATTGGAAAGTTTTGGCTGTGAAAATTAAAATATTGAGGTTTATGTCTTTCTACCTTGTAGGTGGAACAGCTGCATAAAATTTTCAAACTTTGTGGCTCACCTTCCGAAGATTATTGGAGAAAATCAAAGCTGCCTCATGCAACCATTTTTAAGCCACAGCGGCCTTATAGACGCTGTGTTGCAGAAACATTTAAGGATTTTCCTGCCCCATCTTTAGCTCTCATGGAGACCTTACTTTCCATTGACCCTTCTGATCGTGGATCTGCAGCTTCTGCCCTCAAGAGTGAGGTATGGCGTTTTTGAGAAATTGTGTTTCATAAAGTTTTAGACAATTGTAATCTTTGTTGCTCCATTTATTCATTTTTCATGCAGTACTTCTTTCCGATACATATTCATTCTAGGACAAGGGGATATGACTTACCATACCATCCCAATACAAAGAAAAACTTCAAAAAAATTAAACATACCCCATGTCTAACAAATACCCATATCTAATATTTACACCCAAGTTCAAGCATCCATGTATGTAAGTAAGCATTTCTAGGTATGCATTTTCTAAATGGTAGGATGTAATTCTTTTAGTCCAAAATCATATTGTTGTACTTCCATATTCTAATGATCGATCAATATTATTTAGTGTCCATGACTTGTTTTTATTTATGTTTTTCAGTTCTTTACGACGAAGGCTCTTCCCTGTGATCCTTCAAGCTTGCCAACGTATCCTCCTAGCAAAGAACTCGATGCAAAAATGAGGGACGAGGAAGCTAGAAGGTCCATATTATATACTTAACTACTATAAAATTTTATTTTTGTTTATTTATTTTATTTTTACATGTGTGTGTGTGAAGGTAGTTACGTGTACTATATGGAAAATCTCATCCTTAAGGAAAATTCTCTTTGAACTCTTTATATACTTGTGAGGCATTTACTCCCTAAGAAAACAGAGCACTTCAAAAGGATTATAAAAAAACTTGCAACAAATAATTGGGTCTCTTTGTTCTTCAGCTCATGCTAAACTGCTGTAAATCTGGTGTTTGTAGCTATTATTATTGTGTAGCTGTTCTGCCATTGATGCCTAATGGCCTGAAATCTTGAGTGGTTGATCTAGGTGCTAATAAACTACTTTTGTTTGCATTGACAGACAAAGAGCAGCAGCAACCAAGGGCCAGAGACCTGAACTTGAAAGGAGAGCAACAAGAGAGTCTCGAGCTGTCCCAGCACCCGATGCTAATGCCGAACTAGTTCCGTCAATGCTGGTAACTTATAATTTGGTTAAAAGTTTCTGCAGCCCTTGCTTTTTGTTCTACATGTTCGGTAATGGCCCATGGGCATCCTTAACTAGTGTATGCATGCATCAAGATGTGGACCAATGCCACAACTCACAAGATCCATAAGTTTTACAGCATTAGAAAACATCTATTCTAGACATGTTTTAAACATGGTTGAGATGTAATTTCTCCCCTTTTCTTACTGTCAACCAAGGCCAGGCTTTCATTAACTTGAGCTGAAATTGACCCCCAAAACAAATTGAAAATGAAATTACAAAGGAGGCAGAATCGAACTTCAGAATATCTGGGTAAAATCAATGTGGGAGAGGAGGGAAGAAAATTTAACGAATCAGTTGAAATATAGTTCGTCAGTTTTTACATCAAAATCTTGTCTTTCAGAGGTGTTGCATTAATTTGACATTACTAATATTGCTTTCACACTTCAGAAAAGACAAAGTCAATCCAATTCGAAGTGTTGTAGCGAGAAGTTTAATCTGCATCCTGAAGAATCTGCTTCAGGCTTTCCTATAGATCCACCTAGACCATCACAAGCAGTAGAATCAAATGCAGATGCGCATGGGAATCATCACAATAGAGCCTCCCATTCAGGGCCTCTGGCTCACAGGGCTGCATGGGCAAAGTCTGGGAAAACCCAGGACGATCCTCCAAAGATTTCGACTGGGCCTAATCTGTCACTGATGTCAGGTTTAGTGGCAGCAAGGAGAAATAGTCTTATATCTAAGGATAGCAGAGAAAGATATGGTTCTTTGCAATCCGAAGCTCCTACATTGATTGCAGGATTTCCAGGGTCTTTTAAAGAGGTCTCGGAATCTTCTATCGGACAGGACCCAGAACATAATGTGCAGCAGAAGGAAGATGGAAGAAGTAACACCAAAGACCCACTTCTGGTAAGTAGTCCACTTTGTGCAGAAGTCATTGTAATTCATTGATTCTCATATTTTACGTTTTCCGGATTTGCAGTTCAACTATTTCTACACTTCGATTGCTTTCATCCATTTTCTCTGATACATGCTTCTCAATGATATTTGTTCCCAGCTTGGTTATGGATCAAAGGTTCAGAAAATTCACTATTCAGGTCCATTATTAGTTCCATCAGGCAACACAGACCAAATGCTCAAGGATCACGACCGTCAAATCCAAGAAGCTGTTCGGCGAGCACGACTCGATAAAGCAATGAAGAGAAAAGTTCAGTTACAAGAGAATCAATTATCAACCACTTCATTATTTGTTTCTGGTCGTTGAACTAAATTTTGTACAACTGCAAATCAAAGTTTAGCATTGTCAAGATGATCACTGCAAATAATTTGGCTGCTGATTCTCTTGTCAAATATCCACCAAAGTTGTCAAATGGATATTTTTTGTATAGGATGGTGCTTTTTTACTCGGGCTCTGGCATTAGTGTCAGATACAAATATGATTCCGAGTAACAAAGGATCAGAGGGCTGGTGTGCTTGCTAGTAGCAGGTATATTATAGCTAAGGTTGTAGCTTATTAAGAAACCTTTGTGATTCGTCACATGTGCATTTGTTTACTACTCACCAACTGTAATTTGGAAAGATATGGTACCATTCTTGGTAACCTTATTCTCAACATGTTGTGCTCCAGATTTCTAAAGTCTTAGTATTGAAAACTGTATCTGTCTGTATCAGAGTCAGCGATCGTTATCGGCTAGTACAGACCAGTTTTTCGTTTGATTGAAAATAAATTTGTATCATGTTTAACAGTCTAAGAGGTACTCGATTTCTTGTCTGTTATTTTCTTTGGCAAAAGACTGAAGAGTATGGTGGTTTCATTTTGGAGATATTAAATTTCAGGGCATTGATTTTTTTAACTTTCCATGTAGATGTAATTCATCAGTTCTAAGGAAAGAAATCCGAGGGCTTTGATCCTGTTAAGCAAAAATCGAAAATCCGGAATTGGCCAATCCAGCATAAAACTGGTAGAGATATTTTCTTCATAATCAGAAGCTACTTAAACTTCAAGGATCAACAAGTTTTTTTAACAATATGTCGAAAAAATTCGGTCTGTAGTAGAAACATCAAAGAACAAGTACCAGATATCAATGTATAAAGCTTCTTCTTTTTTTTTGAATTCCAGTCTCAACAAAAGTAGGGTATTGATTATTGAGTACCATTTTTTTTATCCTCAACATGGCTAGGAGTTTGAATACCTATTGGTTGCAGCAAAACTATTAGATACAAATTTCTCAGCCGTGTCAGCCTCATTGACCGAACATCCTCACCATGAAGCCTATTTACACTGATCTCGTCTGAGAGTAGCTTTCGCAGACAACTTAGCTACGAGTTGTCGAAGTCTTTGAGCTCCTGGACCTGGAATGATCTTGTTCATATCTCCAACTTCCGAACATTTTGGTTCGCCAGAGCACCAAGCACCCGGGGTGAAGCTCCCCTTTTCCCGGCCAAGCAACTCCTTATCAATTTTATCCAACACAGGATTGTCTTGATTGAATTTCCGAGCAAAAGCAGCACTGCTTTGAACCATCCCGTCCGAGTCATTAAGGGTAAGGACGTGCGGGTGCTGTTTAGGGGGATTGTCCCAGGATATATAATGCAAATCATGATTGACAACAGTCTTAGCAAACTCCGGAGCATTGCATACGACAGTCTGAAAGTAGCCTTCAGGGGAGGAGAGAAAGTTTGTGTAGTACATCAGAAGAGTTCTCGGTAGATTATCCCAACCCCAAACACAATACTCCACAAATGAATGCGACAAAACTGTCCATGCCGAACCTGCAAGCGAAGAGGATGTACAGAAACAGTTAACAGCAAATTTCATAAAGCAAAACAAATTATACATGTATGAACGTAATGTGTAGTTCCAACTTAAGCAGAACAAAACCAGGGCACTGCTTTAAGATCAATGATTCATCCAGCTGCATCACTAAACCAATGCATACATCTTTTCAAAGGTTTAAACCGAGCTTGCTTAATGAACATAATTTATAACTAAACACCATATAGATCCAGATAATTCGTTTTAGATATATATTTAAAAAAAGATCGGCGAGATCGGAAACTAGAATCTCATCTGCCAATAAGAAGATACATATGTGGTTTACCTATTGAGAGCACGAAGATGGAATCAATCCCCTAGTTATAGGAGATACTTAAGAAAAGGGATTTTCAATCTATGTATAGCTGCTGGAATTGAAGACGTCTTAAAGTTCGAATCACGGGTAATAAATTAAGAAAATCTGGCATATGACAGTGTACTCCTAACCGGTAAATAATTTAAATGCAGTAGGTAATGTTCTCTTTTGTGAAGTCCAAAATATATCAGACTTGGTTGACTTGTAGAGTCCGGGGTCTATAATCAAAGGCATAGCTCGTTTATCCCTGCACAAGAACCGGCAAAATATGTCAGCATTCAATGTATATGAAGGTTTTAGAGAGAGATGGAAAGAATGAGAAAACTTACGCTTTCCAGCCAAGCTGACTTGTATGTTCGATAAAGTTAAGGTTCCGGTTTATATCAGAAAATGCATAAATAAGATCTGCAAATAACAAAAGAACCAGATTAACAAATACCAAAAGCAATATCCACCGGCTCAGTTCTCAAATAAGGAATGTGATAAAGACTTGCCATCTTGAGTCACAAGAGGATAATCCGATGCACTGAGATTGATAAACCAATCCCAATTTTTACTTCTATTGAGATGAATGGCACATGCGTGGAGTGTATTGGCGACCATGGTCGGTCCTCGATAAGTAACCATATTAGCCTTGGTGATCATATAAACATTCCCGACTTTGGAAAAAATTGATCCAGAAACCAAGTATGCAAAACGAGGTAGTGCCGGACCAGCAGGAGGTGGTGACAAAGGGCCTATATCGATCTTCGATTCAGCATACCCTGGCTTCCTTTGATTCATATGAGTCGGGAAAATGGAGAAGATCGAGTTGATTTTGTGAACCGAAGAAACGAGTCCCATATTAAAGCAAGTGACAACAAGGATCGTACATATGAGAGAACTTATCACAAGGGGAAACACCCATTTCTTCTCCATGTTCAACGTCGACACCATTGTCGGACCTTATCATAGGATCTAACAGATTCGGAAAAAACAAAGATGAAAAACCCTCTAGCTACCTTCAGATGCAAATTGAAAACACAAACACCATCAATCTTCAGATCAAAGACCTTTCCTCCAACATATAATTCCAAGATATACCTTTGAAAATAGCTGTAAAAAGAACAACCACCATTAATGTTAGCTTATCGTGTATGATTGCCTGCTCTGCTAATTCGCAATGTAACTGAAACTAGACCCGGTCGACGAATCAAACATAAACAAGTGATCAAATTAAAACTAATTAGTAATGAAAAAGAAAAAAGTATTATAAAACATGAAAAATACAAAAATTAAAAACATCATTAAAAAGACTGAACAATTAGTTAAATATACATTGCGATTAAGCTACTGTTTTAACTTGTAAGGTACCAGATTTGTGAAGAAAAAGACAGTAACAAAAAATAAATTGACTATCTCCAAGTTTTCCAATGCTTAAAATGAGCAAATCTAAATCTAAATTGTGTTTATCAACAAACCTGGAAATCTAAATCTGGTTAGAGATTCATAGCTACAGTTAAAATATAAATGAAACCCAGAAAAAGAAAATCAGTAAAGATCATAACTTTGGAGGAAAGAAACAAAACCCAAATCAGGAAACCAAATCATAAAGCTAAAGATGAGAACCAAAATCTAATATAAAGTTGAAAACAGAAAACGGTTCAACGAATAGAAACTGAAAAACATCATGGAGAAAACATTGGAGGGGAAAAAGAACGTGAAACGAAGCTAACTGAAGCAACAAACCTGAGTTTTGATGCTGGTAAGACAACAAAAGACTGTGTCTTCCAAGGAAAAAAAATAGTTTTGTTTTGTTTTTGGTTTGTCGTTTGTAATTGGTGTGTGAAAGAGCAGAGTTTTTGAGTAAATGCTAATTAAAGAAGAGAGAATTTCTCTTTCTCTTTCCCTTCCTTTTTGTTTCTCGTCTTGTTTTCCCTGTGCTCTCTCGTCTTTCCCTAAAACTTAGGAATCTATGTTTATGTAAAATAAAACAGCAATTTTGATTCACTAAAGTTGTGGTTTATTATATAAGTTAATATTTAAATTTGATTATAATATGTAATAATAATGATATCAATGACATGTTATCAATTTAATTGAATATTGATATGTATTAAATTAAATAAAATTATCAAATTTAAATGTTATTTGAAATAAAAATATATAAAAATTTAAAGTTTTTTGTTTGACCAACATTACGTGGGAACGAGGATTAATGTTCTATTGGATTGCTTTTTTATAAATCATTTCTATATTTATTCTCTCTACGCTTACCAAAAAAATATCAAATATTTGTTTTTTTATTAACTTGGAATAATAAATATAAGATAGTATTTATTTAAAGACTCGCAATCATTTAACATTTACCACTCGTACTTTTAGTATACATGATGCTTAAACTTAATATCTCAATGAATAATAATATTTTTTAATAACTAAAGTCGCATTGTTCGTGCTTAAATATTTGTCTGATTCACATAAGGTTAATAAATTATCACATACTTTATTTTCTAAAAATTATTTAATATTAAAAGGACCATCGGGTTTATTAATTAAATAGGATAACAACAAAAACATAACGTCGTGCATTAACTGTCCTAAAAAAAACATCAAGGAATAGATGAAGCTAATAAACAAAACAATTAAACAAGGTCATCCACTTCCCGTGCAACAAGATAGATGAAAAAAAATGGAGCATATTGCAGAGAGACCAAACCAACATATATAACCAAAAGTTGTAAAACTTCAACATTGAATAGAAACTGGCTACCGAGGATCCAACCACCTTTTGTCCATAGTCGATTGAAGAACCACCGAACGGGGACGTCCTCGACCCAAAAGAAATCAAAATATCCCACTGAGGACTCCGAGGTGAGGAGGTGAGTGGCCTTATTACCATCCCTTGGAGTGAACCTAAAAGAACAATAGCGAAAAGCCTTTGCATGTGACCGAGCATCCCAAATTAAAGCCCCAATTTTAGAGAAGTCTGTCGTTTCCTCATTTAGTTTTTGGATCACTAGTCTTGTGTCTCCTTCTACCACCACTCGAGTGAAACTTAAGTCCGCCGCAAAATGGAGAGCATGAATCACGGCCATCGCTTCCGCAGCAAACGCTGAGGTAATCTGTTATGCTTTCCTTCGGCATGCATCGATAATTAGTCATTTATCATAGCCATAATATATTTTTTAATCATTGAAGTCGTTTTGTTCGTGCTTAAATATTTGTCATATTCACACAAAGTTCATAAATTATCACATACTTCATTTTTTAAAAATGTATTCAATATGAATATGATATGCTACTAATCTTGTTTGTTAAAATTTAAAATTTTAGTGGACTTTATCAAAGATTATGTTATTCAATGTTGCCTTTGTGTAAATATTCAAATTTGTATGAATGTTATAAATATATAAAATAAAAGATAAAAGTAAATGGACAATATTGATATTTTGTTGAAATAAAAGAATGAATATTCCTAAATATGATTTAAAAATAATGAAACCCTAGGCAAATTTATTTGAATGATCAGAGGAAGCCCTTTTCAATGTGTTGTTTTACAGTTGGGTCCTTAGTCACATTTTTTTTAAATAAAACTGGTCGTATTTTAAGCATTTTCCCTTTTTCCGCGTCAACATATTTTCCACCACATAAATAAATAAAATATGCAACTGAAGATTCCAGAATATAATATTTTTATTAAAATAATTGAAAACAATTGAGTACTAAAAAAAGGTGCAGTGAGGTGGGAGCTTAATGTCGGAGGATTGCTTGGATATGAATTTATCATCAATCACAGCATTTATAGAAGAAAAAAAATGCTTCCCTTATCTTTGAAAGTCAGTTCGGTTGAAGTTTCATTCTCAAATATTTTAATTAGCTACGCTGAAAGTATAAATATTTTAATAATTCGAATTTTAATATAAATTAAGTTGTAGGTACATCTAATATTAAAGTTATATAATTTTTTAATTTGTATAATATGTGTGCAAATGAGCTTACTTTTTTAAAAAATATTAATGTAAAATATTTGTTAATATTTTAATATATTTTAAATAACAAAACATATTTTTTAGCTTAATCTAAATGCTATCGAAATTTAATTAAGATTTTTAAACTAGTGTTACCGATCAGTTTTCATTAATATAGAATTTACACCAATCAGTTAAATTTATATATCCACAATTAATTTACCATGCGTTATCAGATTTAACATTTAACATAGTTACTAAGTAATAAAAAATATTTTTTAAAAAAACATTTAATAGAGCGTTGGGGTGGGATCTTTATTTATTTTTATTTTATTTCTGTGTGAGTGAGATACACACCAAGAGATCTCCCCAGTTCCTCCACAAGGCTCGACGTCGCAATTAAACGGACATTCTTTAATGGTGCGTTTAGTTCACGGGATAGAATATTATTATGGAGAATATAAGATTATCAGAGAATAGGATTACTTAGAATGTTGTATTTTGTGTTTGGTTGGCTTAGCAGGAATGTAAGATTATTGTGTTTGATTAAAATAATAAAAAATTATTGGAATGTATATTTAACCAAATTGTCCTTATTATATATTTGTTTTTTAACAAGTTGGAAAATATTTATATATTTTCTTTAAAAAATTTAAATTCATAAAATTTATATAATTTTTTTACAAAATTAAAAATATAAAAAAGTTTAATGAAAGGGTAAAATTTTATTTTAATCCTTGAACTTCATATAAAATTTTAATTATAGATTTTTTTTTGTAAATCTAAAATAGTTTAAGGATAAATTTGTAATTTAACCTTCATAGAATTTTTATTATTCAATGACAGAAAAATAATATTTTAAAAAAAATTAAGGGCATTTTAGTCCAATACACCGAGAATCCAATAATACATAAGGAAAGGGAGGTAATGACATTCCCGATAATATATCCCAAAAATCAACTATTAGTAATCTTACATTACCGGGAATGAGATTTTCAGACTAACCAAACGGAGAAATGTAGATTTCATTCTCATGAGAATCTCACTTCTCTAAGGGGGAAAAACAAATGGCGCGGAAATCAAAAGATTCGATCGGTTGATGACGACATCTATTACCCAATAAGAACATTGAGTAAAATACACCACAGGACACTCGAATATTAGTTTTCTTATAAACATATCACTTTTTCTTTTCTTTTCTAGAGTTAGTAACTTACTCAATTAAAATATTATTACGAACAAGTTGCTTTGTATAAAAATATTTAATGCGAGGGATAGTCATGGATCAAGTTAGGTGTTTAGCTTACTTGAATGAGACCCAATAATTAAACTCCTTAACGACTTCACTCGCGCTTGACTCGATGTTAAGAGGATTTCATCTAATCTAAAAATTTGATCCACCAAAATTTTAAATTAAAAATCTGACCCAACTGAGTCGATTCGAGTCAAAACATGTCAATCGAAATTTATCATGTTAGGTGAAATGGCAATATCTATTTAATGTGGTTAGTTACCATAACAATTTGAATCCTTAAAAAATATTTTTTTATCAATTTGGTCTTAATTCAAAACAAATTAATAAATTAGATCCTACGCATTTAAAAAATTCATCAGTTTAGTCGTATTTTGCGATGCTATCAAATCACACAAGTTTACCAAATAAAAGCAAGAATTGGATGATTACATTTTATGATAAAAGCAACACGTTAAAAAAAAAACAAAAATAAAAGTAATATATCATTTATGAGAGAATAACAAACAATTTATTAGAAAAAATACATTAACAAATATATTTTTAAATACGAATGATTAGATTTATTAAATCGTTTTGAAATAGAATCAAATTGATATAATGTATAAATTTTAAAAAGTAAAATTATTATTATATCAATATACATCACTATTTAGTCTAATATTTTTTAATAGTCACCTGAATGTAATTATATTTTAATAAAGTTGAAGTTATAATTTTTGAAAAAAATGTGGCCCATTTATAATCAAACTAATAACTGAGTGACTCGTATGTATTTTACCCAACGTTAAACATCATATTTGATTGCCATACGTCTTATTCTGATTTGGAAATCGGTAAATAACTTTGATCTTTGATTAGTGGGCTCTTATATTTTTTAGATAAAGTAATTTTATTTACTAAATTTAACAGTTTTTTATCTAAATTGGTATTCAATTTATAGTGTTTTTTTCCTCCTGATTCTTCAGAGTTTTATCTTGATTAATCTAGATTAATTGGTGTCGTACATTTAACTTTAGTAGGCAAGTCTCTCAACGAAAATTTATTGTATACACAAGTATATATTTAAGTAATATCAAATTTGTAACATCCTTAATACCGGATTAGTGACTAGATGGAAAAATATCAGAAATTGATGATTAAAGTAGGACAATTTAATAAGTTCAATGACTTATTGGAAATATATGATGAAGGTTGTTTAGTAATAATGGAATGAATTAAAGGGTAAAATGTTGTTTAGTAATAATGGAATGAATTAAAGGGTAAAATTGTCATTTGACAAGTAAGATTTTTATTTTTCCTTTATAAGATAAGGAAACCACGTGGAAAATGAGAGATTTCTCCAGAGTTCTCTTCTTCTTCTCATTTTTTCTTCTTCACGTGGAAGCCAAGAGCAAAGGTGAGTTCATGGTTAGTTAAATTCTTAATGAATTCAAGGTTAGTTTATGATCATTAGATGATAACTAAGCTTAAGGAAAGCTTAAATTATCTTAAAATCAAAAGATGACAGAGCTATGAGAGATTAAGTAAAAGGAGTTTTTAAGTGAATTATTGAAACAAAAGGAGTTAATAGAGTTTGAAGTTGAATTTGACTTGTCATTAGTGGAATTAAAAGATATGAAGTATTAGAAGTGGATTTAAAACATGTTGAAAATTTAGTATGATTCTTGAATTTCCTAAAGAGAAGAGGATAGTGAGGTTAAGGATGAGATAAATGAATATTAATGA